TCATCAAGCCGTTATCCATTACTCCACCGTGCGTCCTATTCTAGACGTTATCCATTACTCCACCGTGCATCACCAAGCCGCTATCCATTACTCCACCATGCCCACCCCCCAGCCGTAATCCATTACTCCACTGTGCCCTCACCGAGCCGTTATCCATTACTCCACCGTGCGTCCTCTAGCCGTTATCCATTACTCCACCGTGCATCCCCAAGCCGCTATCTATCCATTACTCCACCATGCCTACCCCAGCCGTAATCCATTACTGTGCCTCCGATGTGCCTCACCGAGCCGTTATCCATTACTCCACCGCTATCCGTCCTCTAGACGTTATCCATTACTCCACCGTGCATCACCAAGCCGCTATCCATTACTCCACCATTGCCACCCCAGCCGTAATCCATTACTCCACTGTGCCTCACCGAGCCGTTATCCATTACTCCACCGTGCGTCCTATTAGCCGTTATCCATTACTCCACCATGCCTACCCAAGCCGCTATCCATTACTCCACCATGCCTACCCCAGCCGTAATCCATTACTCCACTGTGCCTCACCGAGCCGTTATCCATTACTCCACCGTGCGTCCTCTAGACGTTATCCATTACTCCACCGTGCATCACCAAGCCGCTATCCATTACTCCACCATGCCTACCCCAGCCGTAATCCATTACTCCAAGATTCCTCACCGAGCCGTTATCCATTACTCCACCGTGCGTCCTCTAGACGTTATCCATTACTCCACCGTTCATCACCAAGCCGCTATCCATTACTCCACCATGCCTACCCCAGCCGTAATCCATTACTCCACTGTCCTCACCGAGCCGTTATCCATTACTCCACCGTGCGTCCTCTAGACGTTATCCATTACTCCACCGTGCATCACCAAGCCGCTATCCATTACTCCACCATGCCTCCCCAGCCGTAATCCATTACTCCACTGTGCCTCACCGAGCCGTTATCCATTACTCCACCGTGCGTCCTCTAGCCGTTATCCATTACTCCACCGTGCATCTCAAGCCGCTATCCATTACTCCACCATGCCTACCCCAGCCGTAATCCATTACTCCACTGTGCCTCACCGAGCCGTTATCCATTACTCCACCGTGCGTCCTCTAGCCGTTATCCATTACTCCGATGCATCACCAAGCCGCTATCCATTACTCCACCATGCCTACCCCAGCCGTAATCCATTGCTCTCCTGTGCCTCACCGAGCCGTTATCCATTACTCCACCGTGCGTCCTCTAGCCGTTATCCATTACTCCACCATTGCATCACCAAGCCGCTATCCATTACTCCACCATGCCTACCCCAGCCGTAATCCATTACTCCCTGTGCCTCACCGAGCCGTTATCCATTACTCCACCGTGCGTCCTCTAGCCGTTATCCATTACTCCACCGTGCATCACCAAGCCGCTATCCATTACTCCACCATGCCTCCCCAGCCGTAATCCATTACTCACTGTGCCTCACCGAGCCGTTATCCATTACTCCACCGTGCGTCCTCTAGACGTTATCCATTTACTCCACCGCTATCCATTATCACCAAGCCGCTATCCATTCCTCCACCATGCCTACCCAGCCGTAATCCATTACTCCACTGTGCCTCACCAAGCCGTTATCCATTACTCCACCGTGCGTCCTCATTCGTTATCCATTACTCCACCGTCCATCACCAAGCCGCTATCCATTACTCCACCATGCCTACCCCAGCCGTAATCCATTACTCCACTGTGCCAATCACCGAGCCGTTATCCATTACTCCACCGTGCGTCCTAGCCGTTATCCATTACTCCACCGTGCATCACCAAGCCGCTATCCATTACTCCACCATGCCTACCCCAGCCGTAATCCATTACTCCACTGTGCCTCACCGAGCCGTTATCCATTACTCCACCGTGCGTCCTCTAACGTTATCCATTACTCCACCGTGCATCACCAAGCCGCTATCCATTACTCCACCATGCCTACCCCAGCCGTAATCCATTACTCCACTGTGCCTCACCGAGCCGTTATCCATTACTCCACCGTGCGTCCTCTAGCCGTTATCCATTACTCCACCGTGCATCACCAAGCCGCTATCCATTACTCCACCATGCCTACCCCAGCCGTAATCCATTACTCCACTGTGCCTCAATCCGAGCCGTTATCCATTACTCCACCGTGCGTCCCTCCACCGTGCCTCACCCAGCCGTTATCCATTACTCCACCGTGCATCACCAAGCCGTTATCCATTACTCCACCATGCGTCCCCCAGCCGTTATCCATTACTCCACCGTGCATCACCAAGCCGTTTATCCATTACTCCACCATGCCTACCCCAGCCGTAATCCATTATGCCTCACCGACCGTTATCCATTACTCCACCGTGCGTCCCTAGACGTTATCCATTACTCCACCGATTGCATCACCAAGCCGCTATCCATTACTCCACCATGCCTACCCCAGCCGTAATCCATTACTCCACTGTGCCTCAACCAAGCCGTTATCCATTACTCCACCGTGCGTCCTTATCGTTATCATTACTCCACCGTCAATCCCAAGCCGTTATCCATTACTCCACCGTCGTCCTACCCAAGCCGCCGTTATCCATTACTCCGTTATCCACTCCACCGTGCGTCCCAGCCGAACTCCATGCCTACCCCAGCCGTAATCCTCCTGTGCCTCACCGAGCCGTTATCCATTACTCCACCGTGCGTCCTCTAGCCGTTATCCATTACTCCACCGTTCCATCAATCCAAGCCGCTATCCATTACTCCACCATGCCTACCCCAGCCGTAATCCATTACTCCACTGTGCCTCACCGAGCCGTTATCCATTACTCCACCGTGCGTCCTCTGAACGTTATCCATTACTCCACCGTGCATCACCAAGCCGCTATCCATTACTCCACCATGCCTCCCCAGCCGTAATCCATTACTCCACTGTGCCTCACCGAGCCGTTATCCATTACTCCACCGTGCGTCCTCGAGACGTTATCCATTACTCCACCGTGCATCCCAAGCCGCTATCCATTACTCCACCATGCCTCCCCAGCCGTAATCCATTACTCCACTGTGCCTCACCGAGCCGTTATCCATTACTCCACCGTGCGTCCTCTCGAACGTTATCCATTACTCCACCGTGCATCACCAAGCCGCTATCCATTACTCCACCATGCCTACCCAGCCGTAATCCATTACCCCAGCCTCCAAAGCCGTTATCCATTACTCCACCGTGCCTCCTCCGAACGTTATCCATTACTCCACCGTGCATCACCAAGCCCCCTATCCATTACTCCACCATTACTCCACTGTGCCTCACCGAGCCGTTATCCATTACTCCACCGTGCGTCCTCTAGCCGTTATCCATTATTCCACCGTGCATCACCAAGCCGTTATCCATTACTCCACCATGCCTACCGTCCCAGCCGAAATCCATTACTCCACTGTGTTATCCCTCAATCAAGCCGTTATCCATTACTCCACCGTGCGTCCCCAGCCGTAATCCATTACTCCACCGTGCCTCACCAAGCCGCTATCCATTACTCCACCGTGCCTCCCCAGCCGTAATCCATTACTCCACTGTGCCTCCAAGCCGCCGTTATCCATTACTCCACCGTGCGTCCTACCCCGAACCGTTATCCATTACTCCACCGTGCCATCACCAAGCCGCTATCCATTACTCCACCGTGCGTCATCCAACTGTGTGCCTCACCGCGTTATCCATTTCGTGCATCCCAAGCCGCTATCCATTACTCCACCATCACCAAGCCCATTCGAAGCCGTTATCCATTACTCCAGATTGCCTCACCGAGCCGTTATCCATTACTCCACCGTGCGTCACCTAGCCGTTATCCATTACTCCACCGTGCATCACCAAGCCGCTATCCATTACTCCACCATGCCTCCCCAGCCGTAATCCATTACTCCACTGTGCCTCACCGAGCCGTTATCCATTACTCCACCGTGCCTCCCCAGCCGTTATCCATTACTCCACCATGCCCTCACCAAGCCGTTATCCATTACTCCACCGTGCGTCCCCAGCCGTTATCCATTACTCCACCGTGCCTCACCAAGCCGCTATCCATTACTCCACCATGCCTCCCCAACCGTAATCCATTACTCCACTGTGCCTCACTGAGCCGTTATCCATTACTCCACCGTGCGTCCCTCTAGCCGTTATCCATTACTCCACCGTGCATCACCAAGCCGCTATCCATTACTCCACCATGCCTACCCCAGCCGTAATCCATTACTCCACTGTGCCTCACCGAGCCGTTATCCATTACTCCACCGTGCGTCCTATTCGAACGTTATCCATTACTCCACCGTGCATCACCAAGCCGCGTTATCCATTACTCCACCATGCCTCCCAGCCGTAATCCATCGGCTCCACTGTCCTCAATCCCCAAGCCGTTATCCATTACTCCACCGTGCGTCCCCGAAGCCGTTATCCATTACTCCACCCATCACCCAGCCGCTATCCATTACTCCACCGTGCCTCACCCTAGCCGTTATCCATTACTCCACCGTCAATCCAAGCCGTTATCCATTACTCCACCGTGCCTGAACTCCGAGCCGTTATCCATTACTCCACCATCACCAAGCCGTTATCCATTACTCCACCATGCCTCGAAGAGCCGTTATCCATTACTCCACTGTGCCTCACCGAGCCGTTATCCATTACTCCACCGTGCGTCCTCTAGCCGTTATCCATTACTCCACCGTGCCTCACCAAGCCGCTATCCATTACTCCACCATGCCTCCCCCAGCCGTAATCCATTACTCCACTGTGCCTCACCCAGCCGTTATCCATTACTCCACCGTGCGTCCTCTAGCCGTTATCCATTACTCCACCGTGCATCACCAAGCCGCTATCCATTACTCCACCATGCCTACCCCAGCCGTAATCCATTCCTCCACTGTGCCTCACCGAGCCGTTATCCATTACTCCACCGTGCGTCCTCTAGCCGTTATCCATTACTCCACCGTGCATCACTCCAAGCCGCTATCCGGCTCGAAGATGCTCCTATCCATTACTCCACCTACCCCAGCCGTAATCCATTACTCACTGTGCCTCAACCGAGCCGTTATCCATTACTCCACCGTGCGTCCTCTGGCCGTTATCCATTACTCCACCGTGCATCAACCAAGCCGCTATCCATTACTCCACCATGCCTACCCCAGCCGTAATCCATTGCTCCACTGTGCCTCACCGAGCCGTTATCCATTACTCCACCGTGCGTCCTCTGGCCGTTATCCATTACTCCACCGTGCATCACCAAGCCGCTATCCATTACTCCACCATGCCACCCCAGCCGTTATCCATTACTCACTGTGCCTCACCGAGCCGTTATCCCTCCACCGTGCGTCCCTGAACGTTATCCATTACTCCACCGTGCATCACCAAGCCGCTATCCCCATGCCTACCCAGCGTTATCCATTTCCACAATGCCCACCGAGCCGTTATCCATTACTCCACCGTGCGTCCCAGCCGTTATCCATTACTCCACCGTGCATCCCCAAGCCGCTATCCATTACTCCACCATGCCTACCCCATTCGTTATCCTTACTTCCCCATTCCTCCCGAGCCGTTATCCATTACTCCACCGTGCGTCCTATTCGAGCCGTTATCCATTACTCCACCGTGCATCACCAAGCCGTTATCCATTACTCCACCATGCCTGCCCCAGCCGAAATCCATTACTCCACTGTGCCTCACCGAGCCGTTATCCATTACTCCACCGTGCGCTCCCCTAGCCGTTATCCATTACTCCACCATTCCATCCACTCCAAGCCGCTATCCATTACTCCACCATGCCCTCCCAGCCGTAATCCATTACTCAACTGTGCCTCACCGAGCCGTTATCCATTACTCCACCGTGCGTCCTCTAGACGTTATCCATTACTCCACCGTGCATCCCCAAGCCGCTATCCGCTATCCATTACGTAATCCACCACTGTGCCTCCCCAACCGTTATCCATTACTCCACCGTCTGTGCCTCACCGAGCCGTTATCCATTACTCCACCGTGCGTCCTATTCGTTATCCATTACTCCATTGCATCCCAAGCCGCTATCCATTACTCCACCATGCCTACCCCAGCCGTAATCCATTACTCCATTGTGCCTCACCGAGCCGTTATCCATTACTCCACCGTGCTCCCTGAACTTATCCCTCCACCGTTCACCAAGCCGCTATCCATTACTCCACCATGCCTACCCCAGCCGTTATCCATTACTCACGATGCCTCACCGAGCCGTTATCCATTACTCCACCGTGCGTCCCTCTCGTTATCCATTACTCCACCGTGCATCCTCCGCCAAGCCGCTATCCATTACTCCACCATGCCTACCCCAGCCGTAATCCATTACTCCCCATGTGCCTCACCGAGCCGTTATCCATTACTCCACCGTGCGTCCTCTAGCCGTTATCCATTACTCCACCGTGCCTCCCCGAGCCGCTATCCATTACTCCACCATGCCTACCCCAGCCGCTATCCATTACTCCACTGTGCCTCACCGAGCCGCTATCCATTACTCCACCGTGCATCCCCAAGCCACTATCCATTACTCCACCGTGCATCCCCAAGCCGCTATCCATTACTCCACCATGCCTACCCCAGCCGTTATCCATTACTCCACTGTGCCTCACCGAGCCGCTATCCATTACTCCACCGTGCGTCCTCTAGACGTTATCCATTACTCCACCGTGCATCACCAAGCCGCTATCCATTACTCCACCATGCCTGCCCCCAGCCGTAATCCATTACTCCACTGTGCCTCACCGAGCCGTTATCCATTACTCCACCGTGCGTCCTCTAGACGTTATCCCTCCACCGTGCATCCTATCCATTACTCCACCATGCCTCCACCGTAATCCATTACTCCACTGTGCCTCACCGAGCCGTTATCCATTACTCCACCGTGCGTCCCTAGAACGTTATCCATTACTCCAGATTCATCACCAAGCCGCTATCCATTACTCCACCATGCCTACCCCAGCCGTAATCCATTACTCCACTGTGCCTCACCAAGCCGTTATCCATTACTCCACCGTGCGTCCTCTAGCCGTTATCCATTACTCCACCGTGCATCAAGCCGCTATCCATTACTCCACCATGCCTCCCCAGCCGTAATCCATTCTCCACTGTTCCTCACCGAGCCGTTATCCATTACTCCACCGTGCGTCCTCTATTCGTTATCCATTACTCCACCGTGCATCAACCAAGCCGCTATCCATTACTCCACCATGCCTACCCCAGCCGTAATCCATTACTCCACTGTGCCTCACCGAGCCGTTATCCATTACTCCACCGTGCGTCCTCTAGACGTTATCCATTACTCCACCGTGCATCAATCCAAGCCGCTATCCATTACTCCACCATGCCTACCCCAGCCGTAATCCATTACTCCAAGATTGCCTCACCAAGCCGTTATCCATTACTCCACCGTGCGTCCTCTGCCGTTATCCATTACTCCACCGTGCATCACCAAGCCGCTATCCATTACTCCACCATGCCTACCCCAGCCGTTATCCATTGCTCACTGTTCCTCCCGAGCCGTTATCCATTCCACCGTGCTCCCACCGTTATCCCTCCAAGATTCATCCCAAGCCGCTATCCATTACTCCACCGTGCCTCCCCTAGCCGTTATCCATTACTCCACCGTGCCCACCGTTATCCATTACTCCACCGTGCGTCCTATTCGAACTCATTCTCCATTGCGTCCCCTCCATTACTCCTCAACCATGCCCTATCCATTACTCCACCGTGCGTCCTAATCCAACTCGGCTCGTCCGATGCCTCAACCAAGCCGTTATCCATTACTCCACCGTGCGTCCCTAGCCGTTATCCATTACTCCACCGTGCATCAACCAAGCCGCTATCCATTACTCCACCATGCCTCCCCCAGCCGAAATCCATTACTCCACTGTTCCTCACCGAGCCGTTATCCATTACTCCACCGTGCGTCCTATTCTAGACGTTATCCATTATTCCACCGTGCATCACCAAGCCGCTATCCATTACTCCACCATGCCTCCCCCAGCCGTAATCCATTACTCCACTGTGCCTCAACCGAGCCGTTATCCATTACTCCACCGTGCGTCCTCTAGACGTTATCCATTACTCCACATTGCATCACCAAGCCGCTATCCATTACTCCACCATGCCTCCCCAGCCGTAATCCATTACTCCCGTGCCTCACCGAGCCGTTATCCATTACTCCACCGTGCGTCCCAGCCGTTATCCATTACTCAGCCGTGCATCCTCAATCCAAGCCACTATCCATTACTCCACCCATGCGTCCCCCAGCCGTAATCCATTGCTCACTGTGCCTCACCAGCCGTTATCCAACCGTGCGTCCTCTAGACGTTATCCATTACTCCACCCATCGTGCCGCTATCCATTACTCCACGAAGATTCCCACCCCAGCCGCTATCCATTACTCCACTGTGCCTCACCGAGCCGTTATCCATTGAAGATTAGACGTTATCCTCCAATCCAAGCCGCTATCCATTACTCCATGCCTCCCCATTCGAAATCCATTACTCCAGATTGCCTCAATCAAGCCGTTATCCATTACTCCACCGTGCGTCCCTATTCGTTATCCATTACTCCACCGTGCATCACCAAGCCGCTATCCATTACTCCACCGTGCGTGCCGAACCCGGCTCGAATCCATTCCTCCACCGTGCCAAGCCGTTATCCATTACTCCACCGTGCGTCCTTCGAACCGTTATCCATTACTCCACCGTGCATCACCAAGCCGCTATCCATTACTCACCCATCCATTACTCACGTGCCTCCTATTCGTTATCCATTACTCCAGATTCCTCAATCCAAGCCGCTATCCATTACTCCACCGTGCGTCCCAGACATCCGAACTCCGGCTCACCAAGATCCATCCTCCAATCCAAGCCGTTATCCATTACTCCACCGTGCGTCACCCTATCCATTACTCCATTCCTCTAGACGTTATCCACCCTGCCTCCAAGCCGTTATCCATTACTCCACCATGCCTATTCGAACCGCTATCCACTCCACCATGCCAATCCCAGCCGTTATCCATTACTCCACCGTGCGTCCCGAGCCGTTATCCATTACTCCACCGTGCGTCCTCAATCCAACGTTATCCATTACTCCTCCACCGTCCATTATTCGAACTCGGCCCGAAGATTCCTCAATCCATTACGCCATCCATTATCCTCCACCGTGCGTCCCGTTATCCATTCTCCACCGTGCCTCAACCAAGCCGTTATCCATTACTCCACCGTGCGTCCTATTCGAACTCGGCTCCATTACTCCACCAATCCAAGCCGTTATCCATTACTCCACCGTGCATCCCAAGCCGCTATCCAACTCCACCATGCCTACCCCAGCCGTAATCCATTACTCCAATGCCTCAAGCCGTTATCCATTACTCCACCGTGCGTCCTCGAACGTTATCCATTATTCCACAATGCATCACCAAGCCGCTATCCATTACTCCACCGTGCCTACCCCAGCCGTAATCCATTCCTCACTGTGCCTCACCGAGCCGTTATCCATTACTCCACCGTGCGTCCTCTAGACGTTATCCATTACTCCACCGTGCATCCCAAGCCGTTATCCATTCCACCATGCCTCCCAAGCGCTAATCCATTACTCCACCATGCCTCCCCAGAGCCGTTATCCATTACTCCACCGTGATTCCTCAAGCCGTTATCCATTACTCCACCGTGCCTCCTATTCGAAGCCGTTATCCATTACTCCACCATGCCTCCAAGCCGTTATCCATTACTCCACCGTGCGTCACCGAGCCGTTATCCATTACTCCACCATTACTCCACCCATTGCTCCAATCAAGCCGCTATCCATTACTCCACCATGCGTCCCCCAGCCGTAATCCATTACTCCACTGATTCCTCAACCAAGCCGTTATCCATTACTCCACCGTGCGTCCTTCGAGCCGTTATCCATTACTCCACCGTGCATCCCAAGCCGCTATCCATTACTCCACCGTGCCTCCCAGCCGAATCCATTCTCCACTGTGCCTCACCGAGCCGTTATCCTCCAATCCCCGAGCCGTTATCCATTACTCCACCGTGCTATCCTATTCAGCCGTTATCCAACTCCGAGCCGTTATCCATTACTCCGCGTCCATCAATCCATTACTCAACCGTGCATCGCTATCCATTACTCCACCGTGCCTATTCGAACTTATCCATTACTCCACTGTGCCTCAATCCAAGCCGTTATCCATTACTCCACCGTGCGTCCTAGCCGTTATCCATTACTCCACCGTGCATCAACCAAGCCGCTATCCATTACTCCACCATGCCGTCCTATTAATCCTCGGCTCCACTGTGCCTCACCGAGCCGTTATCCATTACTCCACCGTGCGTCCTCTAGACGTTATCCATTACTCCACCGTGCATCCAAGCCGCTATCCATTACTCCACCGTGCGTAATCCATATTCTCCAACTCGCCTCACCGAGCCGTTATCCCATTACTCCCCGTGCGTCCTCCGTTATCCATTTCCACCGTGCTCCACCGCTATCCGTCCATTCCTACCCAGCCGTAATCCATTACTCCACTGTGCCTCACCAAGCCGTTATCCATTACTCCACCGTGCGTCCTATTCGAACCGTTATCCATTACTCCACCCACAAGCCGCTATCCATTACTCCACCGTGCCTCCTATCCATTACTCCACCAGATTCCTCAATCCGTCCGAGCCGTTATCCATTACTCCACCGTGCATCCTATTCGAACTCGGCTCCAAGATTCCTCAATCCAAGCCGTTATCCATTACTCCACCGTGCGTCCTATTCGAACGTTATCCATTACTCCACCGTGCATCACCAAGCCGCTATCCATTACTCCACCATGCCTCCCATTCGTAATCCTCGGCTCCACTGTTCCTCAATCCGAGCCGTTATCCATTACTCCACCGTGCGTCCCCGTTTCGAACTCGGCTCGTGATTCCGCTATCCATCCAAGCCTACCCCAGCTATCCATTACTCCACCGTGCGTCCTATTCGAACTCGGCCGAAGATTCCTCACCAAGCCGCTATCCATTACTCCACCATGCCTACCCCAGCCGTAATCCAACTCCACTGTGCCTCCCGAGCCGTTATCCATTACTCCACCGTCCTCCTCAAGCCGCTATCCATTACTCCACCGTGCGTCCTATTATCCAACTCCACCTCTCCCCATTCCTCCAATCCAAGCCGTTATCCATTACTCCACCGTGCGTCCCCGAGAACGTTATCCATCGGCTCATCCATTCCTCAATCCACCAGCCTACCCCGCCTATCCATTACTCCACTGTGCCTCACCGAGCCGTTATCCATTATTGCGAAGCCGTTATCCATTACTCCACCGTGCATCACGAGCCGATTCCATTATCCAAGCCGCTATCCATTACTCCACCGTGCGTCCCTATTCGAACTCGTTATCCATTACTCCACCAATCCAAGCCGCTATCCATTACTCCACCGTGCCTCCCCAGCCGTAATCCATTACTCCACTGTGCCTCACCGAGCCGTTATCCATTACTCCACCGTGCGTCCCTGCCGTTATCCATTACTCACCGTGCATCCAAGCCGCTATCCATTACTCCACCGTGCATTCGAACTCCTCGCGAATCCATTACTCCACCGTGCGTATCCATTACTCCACCCGTGCATCACCAAGCCGCTATCCATTATTCGAACTACCCCAGCCGTAATCCATTCCTCCACTGTGCCTCACCGAGCCGTTATCCATTACTCCACCGTGCGTCCCTAGCCGTTATCCATTACTCGATGCTCGTTATCCATTTCCACCATGCCTACCCAAGCCACTATCCATTACTCCACCGTGCCTCCCGAGCCGTTATCCATTACTCCACGTCCTCGAGCCGTTATCCATTACTCCACCGTGCCTCACCAAGCCGTTATCCATTAGCCGTATCCATTCCATTACTCCACCGTGCGTCCCCTAGCCGTTATCCATTACTCCACCATGCCGTTATCCATTACTCCAAGCCGCTATCCATTACTCCACCGTGCCTCACCTATTCTATCCATTACTCCACCATGCGTCCCCAAGCCGTTATCCATTACTCCACCGTGCCATCTTAAGCCACTATCCATTTCACTCCACCGTGCGTCCATTCTCCACCAGCCTCACCGAGCCGTTATCCATTACTCCCACCGTGCATCACCAAGCCGCTATCCATTACTCCACCATGCCTACCCCAGCCGTAATCCATTACTCCACTGTGCCTCACCGAGCCGTTATCCATTACTCCACCGTGCGTCCTCTAGCCGTTATCCATTACTCCACCGTGCATCACCAAGCCGCTATCCATTACTCCACCATGCCTACCCCAGCCGTAATCCATTACTCCACTGTGCCTCACCGAGCCGTTATCCATTACTCCACCGTGCGTCCTCTAGCCGTTATCCATTACTCCACCGTGCATCACCAAGCCGCTATCCATTACTCCACCATGCCTACCCCAGCCGTAATCCATTACTCCACTGTGCCTCACCGAGCCGTTATCCATTACTCCACCGTGCGTCCTCTAGACGTTATCCATTACTCCACCGTGCATCACCAAGCCGCTATCCATTACTCCACCATGCCTACCCCAGCCGTAATCCATTACTCCACTGTGCCTCACCGAGCCGTTATCCATTACTCCACCGTGCGTCCCTATTCGTTATCCATTACTCCACCGTGCATCACCAAACCGCTATCCATTACTCCACCATGCCTACCCCAGCCGTATCCATTACTCCACCATGCCTC